ACTTGTTATACCTTATGAACCAAAGAAAGCAGACGACTATGAATATTATGAGTCTAAGATAGTTGAAGTTCAAGGTAAATTAGGTAAAAAGATTTTAGAGTCTAAGCCAGTGTTTGCTCCTAAAGAGGAAGAGAACATTGACATTGACCCAGAAATGTTCTAAAAATAAAATTTTATTTTTACATGTCAAATTTCTTTTTCTCTGGAACTGGCTCTGGTTCTTTCTTCTCTTCTTCTACTTTCTTTTCTTCTACTTTCTTTTCTTTCTTTTCTCTCTCTTCTTCTTCTTCTCTGGTGGAGTTATGTCAAATTTGGCGCAACCATATTTATGTAAAAGTTCTTTGTCCTTTAATAGCTCTTCTATTCTGTTTCCTATTTCATCTTCAAGAACAGCGCATGTGTCTTCTTTGCATTCTAAGAACTTTTGTTGGACTTCATCTTTCCAAGAGGCGTCATCTCTGTCAACAAGTCTGTCATTGACAAATTTTAAGACTGCTCTTTGTAATGTTTTATGGTTCTTGTCATATTCCCAGAAACAGAACTTTAGAACAAATTCACCTTTCTTGTTTACACTATGTAAGATTTTATGGTCGACAGATGTTTTGCTGTCGAAAAGTTTGTCTCGAATATAGATAGCGAAATCGCTAGACATTTTCTAAAAGATAAAAATTTTAATTTTTCTAAAAATATGTTAGAAAAAAAGTTTGCTGACATTGACAAGAAATTTGAGAATGTTTTGAAGAAGAACAAGAGGAAGTTAGAAAATGCTCAGATAAAGCCTATACATGACAAGTTCCTATTTGCTCAGAATGGTATAACAGGTCTAATTGCACCGCCTGGGTCGGGTAAGACTTTCACTTATCTTAAAATGGCTGCACAACAACAAGAACTAGATGAGAAGAACCCATTCTATGAGTTAGTAGTCATTTGTAGTACTTCTGGTCAATTCGATCAAACCGTAAATTCGTTCAAAGATATTATAAAGAAGTCTAAGTTAGTATGTATAAAGGATACTGAGTTGTTAGATTGGATAAAGAAGTACCAAAGAAGAGTTTTGAAGTATAATGCTATAAATGAGTATATAAATTCTAAGTTTAAAGACCCAAATGAGGAAATGCAGAGAATATTAGAGAAGAAACACTTCAGAAACAAACAGAAAGAGATAGAATACATTTCGAAGAAATTGCAATCTTACGATTGGAAGACTTACCCTCATAGATGTCTTCTTATCTTAGATGATTTCGCCTCTCATCCTTTGTTAAAGAACAGAGAACAAGATATGTGTCGAATTCTTAAGAAGCTCAGACACTTTAACATCTCAGTTGTCATTTGTGTACAGACAGCAAAGAGTTTAAGTAAGGATGTTAAAAGAATACTTACTGATATCATACTTTTCCCTGGATTGTCCGAAGACGATTTCATGGAACTTATGAAAGAGTCCATGGCAGGTAAGTTTGACAGACATGAACTATGGGAGAAGTACAAAGTCATACAAGACCCTCATACTTCTTTCAGAATTCATATCTACGCAAACAAAGTTCAAATTGTAAAAAGTCAAGCTTGAAAATTAAATGTTTTAGTCTTAGTCTGTTGTGGTGCTGGGGCTGTCGGTTCTTCTGGTTGGGATATGGACTCGGTTGGTGGTACGTCGGACATTCGTTTGTGTCTTAACCGTCTTTGTTCTGAAACAATATAATATTGTCTTGAAAAAGTACAACATTGTCTTGAAAAAGTACAACATTGTCTTGAAAAAGTACAACATTGTCTTGAAAAAGTACAACATTGTCTTGAAAAAGTACAACATTGTCTTGAAAAAGTACAAGACTTGTTCTGAAAAAGTACAGCTGTACTCAAATTTGAGAGACATTGTACTGAATTTATACAACATTGTTCTGAAAAAGTACAATATTGTACTGAATTTATACAACATTGTTCTGAAAAAGTACAATATTGTACTGAATTTATACAACATTGTCTTGAAAAAGTACAACATTGTCTTGAAAAAGTACAACATTGTCTTGAAAAAGTACAACATTGTCTTGAAAAAGTACAATATTGTACTGACTCAGTATGGAGCTTGACCCCTTAGACGAAGCAATTTATCTAATTGAGGTAAATGAAACCGTGAAGGAATATCTCAGCAAGTGCAAACCAAGCAAGCTTGAAAATTAAATGTTTAGTCTTAGTAAGTCTGTTGTGGTGCTGGGGCTGTCGGTTCTTCTGGCTTTGGAAGACATTCAGGAAGAGGAACGTCGGACATTCGTTTGTGTCCTGTCGGAAGGAAGAACTTTTCCAGTTGTCGGGAAAAATTTTTCCAGTTGTCGGGAAATTTTTTTCCAGTTGTCGGGAAAAATTTTTCCAGTTGTCGGGAAAAAAGTTCTCAATTTTCGAAAATTTGAATGGTTTACGGACGAACAACAGGAAAATTTTTTCCAGTTGTCGGGAAAATTTTTTCCAGTTGTCGGGAAAATTTTTTCCAGTTGTCGGGAAAATTTTTTCCAGTTGTCGGGAAAATTTTTTCCAGTTGTCGGGAAATTTTTTTCCTGTCGGAAGGAAGGACTCGGAATGCCAGAAGGATTTGACAAGGCAATTTACCTTATAGAGCTACCTGAGCCATCTGAAGTCAAGCTTGAAAAATAAAGAGTTCATCTACTCTACTTGTTTGAAGTTGTCAAAATACTCTGTTATTTTTTCCTTTAACAATGGCAAATCTTCTTTGAAGGTAAGTATTGTACAACCTTTAATATCATAGTGTGTTTGAGGTAACGTATCTTGAACTATTTGTTTCACATCTTCATTCGGTGTCATTGAAATCGGTAAGTTTTCGCGATAGAACCAATTTCTGTCAGATTTGTAAATCTTAGCAAGGTCGTAAAAGCTTTTGTTGTTTCTTCTGACTAAATGCAACATAACCATATCTCTGTCTTCTTCATTTTCCATCTCTTCAGTATAAATCATATACTTATAGTTCTTTTCCTTTCCTTTTGGTACCGAACGTGGTATTCTTTTCTGTATGCTTTTGTCTTTTGCTTCAATGACTTCATCTTTTGCTTGAAGTTTCTTTTCCATCTCTTCACGTTCTTGTCTATGAATTTCATCTAACATCATGAAAATATAACAAGCGTAACGAGGCGAAGCCCACATTGCAACAGCATTTACAAGAAGTCTATGAACATACCAACCTCTCAAACCATTTGGCAAATTTTGACGATTTTCGTACGGAATCTCGTTCCGCGGTTTTCTACCACTCGCAAACATATGAGGAAATTCTTCTAAAAGTTCTTTTGTCTGTTGGTTTTCAAACCAATGACGTGCTTGCTTTGTAGAACGAAGAGTATTCAAAATACTTTGCATTTGGTACATGTCATCTTTGACTGAACGAATGAGACGTAACTGTTTGTTATACTGTATGTACTCGTATTCTTCATTTATGGCTTCATGGACTATAACTGTTGTTGTGTTCTCTGTTGTTGACATATCTGTCTTTACATACAAAATAAAAAATAAAAAAATAAAATTAACTTTTTTTTTCTATCTTGTATAAAAGACCAAAAATAAACGCTTTACATGTATTTTTCCAGCAACTTCGTCAAGAAGTCTGTAAATATACCATGCATAACGAGGAGAAGCCCACATTGCTATTGAACTAACTAGGAACTTATGAACATATATACCTTTTAGATGCGATGGTAAGTTTTGTCTGTCTTGGTACATCTTTTTAAGTTCTACATGTTCGAACTCACTCAAAAGTTCATGAGTGCTATTTAATTCAAACCAGTCTTGTGGTTTCTTAGTATCTGGTGTAGCACATGCTGTCAAAATACTTTGCATTTGGTACATGTCATCTTTGACCGAACGAATGAGACGGAGTTGTTTGTTATATTGTATGTACTCGTATTCTTCATTTATGGCTTCATGAACGATAGCAGTTGTTGTGTTCTCGGTTGTTGTCATATATGTTCTTACATACAAAATAAAAAAAATATTTTATAAAAAACTAACTTTATTTTTTCTGTCTTAAGGAAACTCATGAAATTTCATACGGAATTCAGCAAAAATATATTTTAGGGTAGAATGTTAGATCTAACATGTTTTCTAACATGTTTTCTAACATGGTCTAAAACATACAAAACTCATGAAATTTCATACGGAATTCAATAAAAATATATTTTATGTTAGAATGTTAGATCTAACATGTTTTCTAACATGTTTTCTAACATGGTCTAAAACACACAAAACTCATGAAATTTCATACGGAATTCAATAAAAATATATTTTATGTTAGCATGTTAGATCTAACACGTTTTCTAACCTCTTTTCTAACATAACTATTTACAAGCGTTTTACATGGTATATGTTGCGATGGTTCATGACTTTAAACAGTTTTGTAGCTTCTATTTCTTCTGTCAGTACATCGAATGTTTTCACAATGTCGAATGTTTCTTTATATTTCTTCTTGACATCAGATAGAAGGAAATCGTCAGCTGTTGGATAGTTTTTGTTTAGAAATGCTAACATGTCCATTTTATCTTCTGCTGGTTTTTCTGCTTCTTTCTTTAAGTCTGCATAGTCGTTTCTCATACGTTCTATCTCTTTGACGGAGTAGTTATATTTCCTCATTGCTGCTTTACATTTTGAACATTGCGGGTTCATTTTAGCATTGTACATTGAAATAAAACCAGCTAGAACAACCAAGGCGTCAATGGTTTTCTTTAACTCAAAAGTTGCTGGTTTTATCTGTTCGTTCCATACTTTACCTCTTCTATCTTTATCTCTTATCTGCCATACACATTTTGCAACTAACGAAACAAAGTTGTCGTAGGTCTTAAATTCTTCAGATTTATATATGTCAGAGATGTTCTTATATACCATGTCGCAGTCTTTGTCCATGACTTTGTGGTTGCAATGAAATCCAAGAAACTCATAGTTAACCTTTCGTATGAACTTCTTTATTTCTACTGAGTCAGTTGCTTTGACTTCTATTTCATCGAATTCAGGAATAGTAAGCTTTTGTTGTTGTATTTCAGGAAGTTTAGGTAGATGGTCAATAATATCCTGCATTTCATAAAGATATTGTTCATTTGTTTCATCTTTCGCACTACAGTCTAAATCTCCTTGGAGAAGTTCTTGCTTTATCTTCTGGATTTCTGTTTCGAAAGTATATGAAGAAGGAATGAAGCTTTTCATCTCTACTAACATTGAAGTTGGGTTCATAACTAAAGAGTTTGGTGCTGTAGTTGCTAACATGTTCTTACAATAAAAATAAAAAATATTTTTTTAAAAATACTAACTTTATTTTTTATGTTTTTTGTGAAAGTGTCAAAACTCATGACAAATTCAAGAGTTTTAGACCATGTTAGAAAACGTGTTAGAAAACATGTTAGATCTAACATTCTAACATAAACATTATTTTTGGGTCATTTACACTCATTACGAAGAAGTCTTGACAAAACATGTACGAAGAAGTCTTGACAAAACATTTACGAAGAAGTCTTGACAAAACATTTACGAAGAAGTCTCAACAAAACATTTACGATGAAGTCTTAACAAAAAATATACGATGAAATCTATTTCCTGTGTTGTTGTCAAAATGTCATGTTGTCACACTTTTTCAAAAAGATGTTAGTTGACCGAGTGACCGAGTGACCGAGTGACCTGGTCGCCTAAAATATATTTTTTTCTATCTTAAGGAAATTCATGAAAATTCACCTGTTGAATTTTGTATAAAAAGCAACCCGCTGTTTTCCGACGGTTGCTATATTCTTCACAAAATGCTTGTTTTGAGGTCGAGCCACTTTTGGCTCCACCTCTTTTTTCAACCAAAAACTCATTTTTGTCGAATTCAGCACAAAATTCATGAAAATTCAAGAGTTTTAGACCATGTTAGAAAACGTGTTAGAAAACGTGTTAGATCTAACATGCTAACATAAACATTATTTTTCAATACTTTTTCAGCACTTCTCCGTAGTTATATATGAAAGACAATTCGAGATAAAAGTCGTAGTACAATGGAACAATATGTTGCACACCATTTGTTGTGAACCAAACTTGAAAGTCAGAGAAACTGTTACTAGGTGGTTCGTAGAATTTAGAAGCAAAGTCATAAAAGTCCTTACCGATACAAAGAAAACTATTGTTGCTTGAACTGAAACTTGCATGACACATAACATTTTGAGGGTCAAACACGTTTCTATAAACTGTCAAATCTGTTGGTGGGCGTATAAACCAGAACGGACCGTCAGGTGGTAATGGTTCGTTCTGGTTTAGTAACCGAAGAAATTGTGCCCAAGAACGTTTGTCTACTTGCCAAAATAAAAACTGTGTATCTCTTGGAGGGTTATTTTCAATCCTTTGAAATGAAACTGTGGAGTTCATCTTGTCATATTCTAGTTTCAGATAGTATGTTCCGTTTAGTAAAGAGTCGTATTTTTCTTGAAATTCCCAGTAGTATTTGTTTATTTGAGTTTGAAAGTCATTTAGAGTCTTCTCAAGATTTTCGTCTGAACGAACCGTAAAGATTCTCATTTCATCAAATTTGTCTAGTAGACCATCATGACCTCTATACCGCCCATGAAAATATACTGCGAACATAAATGCGTTAGTTCTTTTTGAAAACAAAACTCTTCTAAATCCTATTGCCTTTGCATCTGAAGGACTTTGAAGCCAACGAATTGGAAAGTCAAACCTGTAAGATCCAGATGAAATTTCTTCATCTGATATAGTCCTACCAGCGTTTGTAAAGATATAGTCTAACGGTTTTGTATCTGCTACTTTTGTTCTTTGTTTTTCAACCTGAAACATTTAATATATGTAAAAATATACTGTTTTAAAAAAAATGTTTTAAAAAAGTATGCCATTTCATATTTCTCATCTAACAAACATGTTGTCTGACTGCTTGAGAGTTAGGTTGGTACCATTCGAACTTCACGCTTACAATTCCTTCAATTGCATTCAAAATGTCTGAGTCGGAGTCAACCATTTGTTCTCTCTTTGTAGTCTTGAAAGCGTCAAGAAGTTGTGCGGCTGTTGTGACATTGCCATGTGCATAGTAAATATGACCATCCAAATCTGTTACGGTTAGTCTGAGATTGTATCCTTTCTTATTTCCGTCTTGTATGGCAGCAAGTACTCCCATGAAGCCTTCTTTGTTCTTTCCTTCGTCAAAGTTTACTGTAAAGGTTCGACCAGATGTAATTTGACTTCTAACTTCACGGTACTTTTCATATGCATATCTTGTTCTTTCCATTGGAGCATGTGCGTCTTCACCTTTTCCTTTTTTCCTTCTCAAAGGATGCAATTGTTCGTCATGTTTCCAGTAGAATCTGGCAAAGCCGTCGTGTCCTTCAACTTGCGGTTCACTAACATTGAAAGGCAAGTTCATAAGACGTTCTTCTTCTAACCTCTCTAGTCTGTTTGGATAATTTGCACGTGCTGTTTCTAAGTCCATTTCGTAGCGAAGACCAGACAATTTGTCATAGACTTTTATGGGTCTTCCCTTCCTATATTTAAAATTCTTCGAAACTCTCCAACCATATCTTTGTAACTCTGCTTTTATTCTAGCAGACTTTCTATCCATTCTATGCAGGGGCATTTTTATAAAAATAAAAAAATATTTTTTTCTTTTACTTAACATAGCCACCAGCTACCAAAAGTCTTTGACGCCAACCCATACCAGCTAATGAAGGTTGACTAAACTTTGGTTTTGGTTTATCTTCAGTTTTTGGCTTCCCTTCTTCTATCGGTTTTTCGTCACTTTTCGGTTCCTCTGACTTTACCTCACTTGCAGGTATGGTTGTGTCGTTAACATCTTCGTAAATATCATATGCCATTTGTTTTTGTTTTCCTTTCAACTTTTTGTGTTTGTTGTAAAGTTTAGAATATTTCGACTCTAAGTCAATGAGATGTTCTATAATGAACTGTTGGTCCGTGAAGTAAACTTTTCCATCTGTTGTCTCGAAAGCTCCTTCAGACTTCAATATTTTATTTGTGAGAGTCTGTTTCTTTTTTGAGATACTTGCCGTTCCATTTCTATGAAAAGTGACTTTATAGTTAGGGTTTGTATTTCCAGACCTGGCACTTTCTATTATTGAATTTTTCTCTTCATCTGTAAGTTCTTTGACAGGTTTTGACAATGGTTCTGAACTTTTTGTTTGTGGTGTCAAATCTACCGTTTCAACTTCTTCGGTCATTTCATCTCAGTAAAAAATTTTAGTTTGGTTTGTTTTCAACTGGTTGTTGTTGTTTTTTAAGTCGGTCTAAAACTTCCTGAGGTATAGGAAGAACTTGACAAACACGTTGTGTAACTGCTGGAAGTCGACAAATCCATCTTGAACCCATTTGTCTCAATGCTGTATTGTTCATTTCATCTCAGTAAAAAACTTTACATTCCCCAAGTTTGAGGTGGTTGCGGTTGGTTATTGTTTACCCACTGTTGTGCATGGTTATATCCTCTGTTAAAGAATCTTTCACCTTGGTCCATATAGTGTCCTGCTTGGTTATAGTAGTCATTTGCTTTGTTATAGTAGTTTCCTGCTTCTCTTCCTACATTGTCCATCCATCCTTGAACTTTTCCTCTTGTTTCAGGATTTGGAATAAGATTTGTTGCATCTCGTGCTACCTCCCAACCTTTCTGTACGGTTTGTATAATAGGTTGTGCTTTCTCTTTAAGTATACCTAATGTACTCAAAATCTTCCTTCCAACTCCAAATACACCTCTGGCTATTGTTCCCACTGCGGGTAAAAATCTGGATGCAACTCCTGCTAATGCGCCAAATAAACCCATTTCTTATGGGTTAAAAAATGACGAATCCAAACAAGGACCCCTATGTTTCTAAAGCAACAAAGAAAGCACTCATGGTAAAAATCTTTAGTTCAACACCAAATGCTTGGTTTATGGATATCTTGGAAAACATTCCGAGGTATAGAGAAGATGGACCACCATACTGGCTAATATTTGTCGGTCAAAACACAAGATACTGTGAAGCCATACCATTACAGTCTAAAAATATTTTAGATGTCTTAGCAGCTTTGACAATATTCGTTGACAAATACCATCCAACAAAACTGACATCTGACTGTGAAAGTTCTTTCAAATCAGACGATATTAAAAACTATCTGCGTTCAAAAAATGTAAACCAATATTTCATTGTCGACCAAAACCATTCTGCTCTTGGTGTCATTGACAGTTGTATAAAAATCTTAAGAGACTTAAACCAACCACAAGGTGGTGAGGTAGATGAAATGTCATATGACGACAAGTATAGACACTTTTCCATGGCAAAGATGAGACAAGTTTTAAATATTTACAATACCCGTAAACAAAAAGGTTTGGGAAACCACTCCCCCGAAGAAATGAAAAACAACCCTGACTTAGAGAAAGACTATATATTTAATAGTTTAGTCAAAAGAGACAAACAAGAAAGAATGCCAGGCTTCAAACTTAAGAAAGGTGACAAAGTAAAAATAGAAATACCTAAACGCGACCCATATGAAAATACTATTGACTATGACAACAATGGGAACTCGACAGGTACTCGCATTCGTGTTCGTAAAAATAGAAGAAAGTATACAAGAGAATATTATGAAGTTTTAGGCAAACATGGCAAAATGTACACACTGCAAGCAGAAGATAAAACGACTATTGTCAGACCTCGTTTCAAACTTGTTAAGGTTCAAGGTGGTATACTTTCAAAGACAGTTCCTAACAAATATAAGACAACTCCTGACGAATATGCTAAAGAAGTGGAACATGACGACTAAGCAATTCTATACCATGCACAAACTGTCATGTAAGGTGGCATGTATTTTTTACCTAGTCCTGTAGATGTTGTTGTAAAAGTATGTTGGTGGTTTCCTCCTGGTTCAGTTTGTCGAAAAGTCTTTTTTGCTGAATGGTTATAATCTGGAGATAAAACGTCATAGCCAGCTTCATATTCTGAGTTGTATAATGGATGGTCTCGTAATGAGTGGCTATGGTCGCCAGAAAAGTTTGTTGTACCAGAATGACTATGTGGTGGCAAGTTGTCGACAGATATCGTTTTACTTCCACCTGTTTTCTTTGGAGTGTGTGCACAATACAAAAAACTTTCGAATATTTGAGTCCAAGTTCCAAAACCAAGTACTACTTCTGGTCTGGTAGAGTTCATTGACGTATAAATAGAACCAACTGGGTAAATGGTTTGAAGTATTTCTGTCTTTAATGTTTGAAGCTCTGTTTTGTCAGCTTTTTTATCATATAAATCTTGAGCAGTGAATTTAACTTTGTTTTCATCCTCCATGACATAGACATTTCTACATCTAATGTATCTCATCGTTGTTATGTCTTCTTCCGATGTTAAACCTTGTGGAAAGTTAGGAGGTTTCCAATCTAATACATCCCCACCAGCTCCTTCAACCGTTCCTTCAATATTTTCTATACCAACAGTTGCGAAGAAATCGTGTGTATGTCCAACGTCACTTTTCCTGTTTAAGGTTTCTTGTAAGTTTGTAATATTTGCAATGGTATGTGTATGGTTCTTATCCGCTTTAAGGTCTAAACATCCTGAAACCCACCCTGTATTGGCTTTACCTTCTAAAATCTTCGATGTCCGTTCATTATACCATTCAACCCTTTCTTTAATTTCATTGTCTTTTTCATCCACATATTCCTTATCTGCCTTCTTCACTAACGCACTAGCCATACGTGCTAACTCATCGTCAACATACTCTTTGTCAGCTTTGTTGTCAACATCTGCTTTCAAAAGAAGTTCATCTATAGGCTTCTCGTTTAAAGTTCCTTTTGTTGGATTTATACAGACAGTATGGTTCCTATTGTCTTGAAACAGAAACTCATCTGTCATTGGGTTCATTGTCAGTTTTAAGTTTCCTTCTTTCAATGACTCAGATATCTTAGAATAGTTTGAAAAGTTTGTTGTGTTCTTATTTAGAGCTTGTATAATGAGTTGTCGGTTGTGTTGTATTTCTCTCATAGACGCTGTTTCATTTGACATTTTTATTCTAGATAAAATATGCTTTCAATAGAAAAAGAAAATTCAAGAGTTGCTACAACTAAACCATTAGATGAACTTTTTACTAATGTCGGTCAAAAGTTTGAGACAGAGACCGTAAAGCATGAAGGCTATCGTTTTGACTACCCATTAAGATGGCTAAGAGACCCATCTGTCACAAAAGCTATTGGCTTTCGTAGAATGAAGTTCATTTCAGAAGCCATACATGGTTTCCCATTTACGGTCGCTTTTGAAGTTCGATACTATAACAAAGAAAAACGTACGTATGAGAAATTTGAACAGGGAAAACTTTTACAAGTTAGTTTGCTTGTAAACTTAGAAACAACTCTTCAAGCTTTTCAAGAAAAAATAAACGATATCTATCTCGAATATGCAAAACAGTACAACATTGACGAAGGAGAGTACCATCTCGATATTATATATGACAGGAAAAATGCAACTGTTAAATTCAATAGAATAGAAGACCTTGGAGAAAACGTTTATATTTCTACAAAATATAACAACTTGGCATGGTATAGGTTTATGAGGATGTTAAATCAGCCTGCAGAATATCCAGTACACCCGGACTTTTATGAAGTCGAAAACCCTAATGGAACATATGAAAATGTTTTCGACTCAGATGCTATTATAGTTCATGCTTCATTTTCTGGCGCCCAAAACTCTTTTTTATGCTTGGCAAATGACTTTTACGAAAAACCTACAAAGTTATATGAACCACCGAGTGGAAGTATTTCAGACTTTCAAGTATGGTTTACTACAGATGGAAGAAAGAGAATAATTCCATTATACCACGCGTTTTACTTAGAACTTAGTTTCATATACAACTACTATCGAACGATAAAAATATAATTTTTTAATACGGTTGAGGTGTTGGATTTGGTTGCCAACTAGACTGTGGTGCAGGTTCAGGCTGTTGTATAACAGGAGCTTGTTCTTCTGGTTCAGGGTCTTTAGGTATAATACCAACGAACTGACCTACTCTTTTACCAATATTTTTGACACCGTTCCAAATTCCTCTTCCTACGGTTTTTATTCCATTCCATATACCTCTTCCAACATTTCGAAAGAAGTTTCCTATTCTTCCAAAGAAACCCATTTTACTATATGTAAAAATCTAATGTCCGCCTAGTCTCTTACGTTTCCTGTTGAGTTCCATAGCATTCTTTAACTGGAGCTCATACATTCTGTTTCTCCTCTGGTAGAAAACATATTCTGGGTCAACTCCTGTGTTCGCGTCATCTGCATAGAGTGTGTTTATATCCCACTTCGGGGTTTGTATAAAACTCTTTCCATCTCATTTGCATACCATGGTGGTAAGCCTAACGCAGCGTCATTTGACATGGCAGTTTGCATTTGTACATCTGTTGGCACTTGACCATAGTTTGCCATTGCAGTTTGTATTCTAACTTCATTTGGAATATTCTCTGGGTTTGGTTGTCCAGGTTGCTGTGCATTTGCTAAGTTCTGTGCGTCCATTTAATATTAGATAAAAATATCTCTTACGAGTACATATACTGAACATTTGCAGGCATTGGTTCATCTTCATATTCTCTGTACTTTTCTGCCACGTCAAATAAATAAATGACACAATGGAAAAAACCTAAAACAAGTAGTCCTATTTCAAACCACATTTACTTACTAGTAATTTCTTTGTTATGACACTTTCTCCAGTTTATAGGACCTCTCTCATATTCTATCTTATCGTATCTAAACTCATAGTCATGTATGTCCTCTAACCATCTCATGACACTTTCCAAACCACTTTTATCGGATGTAAAGTAAAAGCATGGATGGTTATGTAAAACGTCTAAAGTTTCTAAAGAGTCTCTCAAAGTCCAGTCTACTTGGTATTGAAAATCCCATGTGTTATAGAACGGCGGGTCTACTATAAAGAAAACATTTTCCTTGTCTTTATATTTTTCATACAAATCTGTCCAATGACATCTCACAAACTCTATACCCTCAATATATTTTTCTATGTTCTCTTTGAAAACATTTGTATAGTTAAGATATAAAACTTTTGACATAAGTGTTTCAATGTCATGAACTCTTATAGCACCACTATATAATAGTCTAGCAGATATACTATCCCAGTCAATATACTCTGCCTTTTTCAAAACCTCTCTGACAGTATTTTTCTTATCTAATGGTATACGTTCCATCTTACCTATAGGTATCTTTTCTTTCAACTCTTTCAATATTTTGTTTGTGTCTGGTATATGTTTGAGACGGTTCATATAGTTGTCGAAGTCATTGCATATAATCTTTGAGTCTGGGAATATTGTATGGCACAGATGGGATATATAGAAACTTCCACCGAACAAATCTACAAATGTTAGACCATTCGGTAGTTTCTTAAGTTCTCTCAATAGAATATCTTTACATCTACTCTTATTTCCAAAGAAGGGTAACGGTGGTTTTGTAAAATTCATTTTATATACAATAAAAATGTTTTTTTCCTGAAAAGTGACAGATGTTTTATTGTGACTTCTTCGTAAAGACTTTGTTGAGATTTCTTCGTAAATGAGTGTAAATGACCCAAAAATATATTTTAGGGTAGAATGTTAGATCTAACATGTTTTCTAACATGTTTTCTAACATGGTCTAAAACTCTTGAATTTTCATGATTTCATCGTATATGTTTTGTCGAAACTTCTTCTTCGTACATGTTTTGTCAAGACTTTCTTGTCTAATTTCTCATGAACTTTCTTGTCTATGTTTTGTCAAAACTTCTTCGTAAAGACTTTGTCTATGTTTTGTCAAGACTTTCTTGTCTATGTTTTGTCAAAACTTTCTTGTCTATGTTTTGTCAAGACTTTCTTGTCTATGTTTTGTCAAGACTTTCTTGTCTAATTTCTCATGAACTTTCTTGTCTATGTTTTGTCGAAACATTTACGATGAAATCATGAAAATTCATGAAAATTCAAGAGTTTTAGACCATGTTAGAAAACATGTTAGAAAACATGTTAGATCTAACATTCTAACATAAATTATATTTTTGGGTCCTTTACGCTCATTACGAAGAAGTTTGACAAAACATTTACGAAGAAGTCTTGACAAAACATTTACGATGAAATCATGACAAAACATTTACGAAGAAGTTTCGACAAAACATTTACGAAGAAGTTTCGACAAAACATTTACGATGAAATCATGAAAATTCAAGAGTTTTAGACCATGTTAGAAAACATGTTAGAAAACATGTTAGATCTAACATTCTACCCTAAAATATATTTTTGGTCATTTACGCTCATTACGAAGAAGTTTGACAAAACATTTACGATGAAGAAGTCTTGACAAAACATTTACGATGAAGAAGTCTTGACAAAACATTTACGAAGAAGTCTTGACAAAACATTTACGAAGAAGTCTTGACAAAACATTTACGAAGAAGTCTTGACAAAACATTTACGAAGAAGTCTTGACAAAACATTTACGAAGAAGTCTTGACAAAACATTTACGAAGAAGTCTTGACAAAACATTTACGATGAAATCATGACAAAAAAGTCAACGGCTGGTCGGCTGGGGTTCGGTCCTCCTCTTGGGTCTTGGGAAAAATTTCTTATGGGCTGGAAGCCCTCCGAATAAAAACTTCATTTATACTAAACATCTTCAGGGCTAGAAGGCACGAAGTGCCTGGAAGCCCCACTACCTTTTTTTTTTTTTTTTTTTTTTTTTTTTTTTTTTTTAAATTAAGCTTTAAAAATTTTGAATATGAAATTATGTATTCAAAAATATTTACGAATTTTCAACTAAACCGATTTTTTAATATAATATAGTATGAAAATCCTTCAAGGTCAGGTAAGTGGGGCTTCCAGGCGCGTTGCGCCCTCTAGCCCCGGAGAAACTAGAGGAGGAATGATACAAAGACCAGATGAAAAAAATAAAAATATTATAATAAAATTAAATTTTTAGTCTTAAATTGTTTTTTTTATTCGGTATATTCTGAATCTTGAATGTCTTGGAAATTTTCTTCTTCTTCGCTCTCTGAGGTGAGGATTTCTTCGACTTCTTCTTCTTCGCTCTCTGAGGTGAGGATTTCTTCGACTTCTTCTTCGCCATTGGGAGCAACAAATCCTGCGATGAAAACTTTGTATATACCTTCTTGAGGAGTCTCTATGATGAAAGTCGTATTGTTGAGGAAATGGAACTCGACATCTTGAACAAATTGGCAACTGCTGTGTGTGAATTTTGCAATTGTGAGAGGCTTTCCTTTATAGCCCTTGGGAAAGCTTGAGATAGTTACTGTTCCTCCATATGGAACTCTGGCAGGAATATCTAAAGCAACAGTTGTTATAACGTGGAAATTGTCTAAGAATTGAGGCATAGGTTCAATGCAGTATAGTCGTTTTGACTGGTTGTCTTTTGTGTAGAAATATAAATAGAATGACCTTTCACCATGTTCATTCAATTCTTCCAAATAATTGTATGAATTTGGATATAAACGGACAAATTCAGCAATTTTAACTTCTTGTAAATGCTTCTGCAAGTTCTTTGGAAACAAGTGAATGAACTGGTCAATAGCTTGCAACGCTATGAGATTGGCAGTAACGGGTAAATATGAAGCAAACATGTCAACAAGTACGCCAGGGTCTTTGATTTCGTTTTCAAGAGGCTGAATGGCATCCATGACAGCTTGAAACATCTCGTTATAATCTCGATTGTCTTCTGAACCCCACTGTTCATTTAACTTATCTAACAATTCTAACCTTTTCTTTGCGTATTTTCTACGAACTTTCTCTGAAAGAGGAGTGTCGCTATCTTGTGTGTCTTGAATTTGAGACTTAAATTGTTTGCTAAAGGCGAGATATCGTGTTTGCGACCTAGTGGTCATTGCAGAATGTGTTTCTGTATGTTCGATTGGATGTGTTTCTGTATTTTCGGGTGGTTGTGTTTCTGTATGTTCGATTGGAGTCTGATTGGTATGAACTTCTTCTGAAAATGCTTCTGTTCCGATAGTTGTTGTTGCCTGACCTGTTGG